AATGAAAGACCTCTCTCACTCTGTCTTTTCCTTTTCTCTGAAACTCTGCCTTTCAAATATTGTATTTTTATTCTTCAGAATAGGTTCTGCTACTAGTGGTCTCTTGTTCTTCCAGGTGAATTTGTGTATCCCCTTTTTTCCAGCTCTGAGATTAATGTTATTTGAATTTTGTTTAGAATCATATTGAATCTGTATATTGATTTTGGTAATATGACATTTTGATAATGTTGATTCTACTGATCTAGGAACATGATGAATTTCTTCATCTTCCAATTTCTTCTATTTCATTTTTTAAATGTTCTGTATTTTTCATCATACAGGTCTTCCAAATATTTGCTTTATTCCAACGTATTTAAGGTTCTCTGCTATTTCAAAGGAGACTATACTTATATAAGTTCTTTTTCAGTCAAAGAGTTGTTTGTGTAAACTAAGACATCAATTTATCTTCATTAATTTTGTACCCTGCTATGATGCCAAGCTTTCTTATGAGTTCCAATAGTCTCTTTATTGAATTTCTTGGTTCCCATATACATAGAATCATGTCATCAGTGAAGAGTGGTAAATTCAATGCCTCATTTTCAATGTGAAGCTTCTTGACTTTTCTTGCTTGCCTGATAATCCTGGCAAGGACTTAAACAATTTTGAATAGAAGTGGTGAAAGTGAACATGTTATGCTAGACTTTTTACCATTGTCTGTACCTAAAATGTCATGATGCATTTACATAGCATATTATTCTAATATATAGGGGGAAACAGTGGGGGCAGGAGAACTAGAAAAGTGAAGGGTAGAATTGAAAATCCCTAAACCTATGAGGCTACATCATTAAAACACAAAAAAGAGTTTTAAAAAATGTGGATAGCCTTGTCCAGTTTCAGATTTTGGGGAAATATTTTCAATCCTTCCCCATTCAGTATGATTCTGGCATTAGATTCTCTTTATATTGTTTTGATCATGCTGTAGAATTTCCCTTGTATTTCTATCTTGCTTAGGGTTTTAGCATGAAGTGGTGATTTTATGAAATACCATGTCTGCATCTGTCCATATGATCATATGATTTTTATTCCTCAATTCACATATGTTGGTTTTCATCCCCACATGCCAGGGTAAATGCCACCTGGTCTGGGTGAATGATCAGATGTTGGGAAGTGACAGTAACCACAAGGTAAATCAACCCGCTATGACAGGTTCAACTAGTGACAATGGCAGACAGCATTGACAGTAGCATTGTCTTACAAACTTTGTTTAAAAGAACAACAAAAGCCCCAACAATATAGCTGACCATTTGATCTATTGTAGCTGAAATATTGCTAGAAATATATTACATCTGATGCCACTGGCTGTGGAAGTCTGTTCAGTGTCTCTTCACAGCACTAGCACACTCAGTATCTGGAACATTTGCAGATGGTTAAGTCAGAAGATGGAAATAGTGGTCAATTTTAAGTGACCCTTAGATCCTCCTGCTCAGCAAGGACACATACTGTATCCAATCACTTGGGTAACAAACATTTTGAGTGAAAGGATTTCTTGGGATCTGGCATGGTGGCCTAGCAGCCGAAGGCCTCGCCTTGAACGTTCAAGGATCCCATATGGGTGCTGGTTCTAATCCCAGCCACCCCACTTCCCATCCAGCTCCCTGCTTGTGGCCTGGGAAAGCAGTCAAGGACATCTCAAAGCAATCAAGGGACTTAAATCTGGGACCCTGCACCTGCATGGGAGACACAGAAGAGACTCCTGGCTCCTGGCTTTCGATCAGCTCAGCACCAGCCATTGCTGTCACTTGGGGAGTGAACCATCGGATGGAAGATTTTCCTCTTGGTCTCTCCTTCTCTCTGTATTTCTGCCTTGCAAATAAATATAAATAAATCTTTTTTTTTTTTTAAAGATTTCACCACACACTTAACAAATATTTCCAAAGTAAGTATTTCATCACATAGTATGTTGTTTTTCTCTCCTTTACCTTCTTGGGATCCTTAAAATTTTGAATTGCTTAGTTGATTGATTATATCTTTGAAGCTGAACATTTAGTAGGTTGGCCTGCTCTTCCTAGGCAAGAGTTAAATGATCAAATAGCTATGTATTTCTATTTGTAATGCTGGTTAAGTGGCTCATTGAAGAAATTGATTAATGGTATCAAAGTATTATGACAGCTGAATCAGTAAAATTGGGATAAATGGCATTAATGTTTGTCATATTTCCAGTGTGATGATTGCAATTGGAATACCATTTTCTCTAATCAGGGTGTCCCAGAAAGTGTTTGTGTATATAAGGATCCTTTGAAAAGTTTACTTCAAGGCACACAATTTTGAAATCCAGACAGTTTTTCATAATATGCGTTTTCCATAAACATTTTACAGCTCTAGAAAATGTGCAGACAGTATTGTAATTGCATTTGAAATAAATGCAATTCAATCAAAACACTTATATTTGAAAAGCAGTTAGAAGATTATAAATACACATTTTTATCAAAGCAACTGTCTCTTTTTTTTTTGTCCACTAAAGGAAATATCCTGTGGATATTCTCTGTTATTGTACATTTTCATGAAATGACATTAAAATTCTGATTCCATACTGCCTATTCTTTTGTAACCTTGGAGCAGATGTCAGTTTCATATGGATCCTGAATGTTGTTGAATCTGTTTTTCAGATATAAATGTAACTACTGGTCAGTAATGTAGGATAATTTATACATCTGCTAAAGTATCATAGGGGTTTTGTTAAGCATATGGACTTAGAATTCTTCCTTTTGTAGAACTGTGGATTTAGAACCGTACTGCGTTGGGTGACATCCTTGCTTACTCCTAGTGACAGGTATATGTGCTGGAGTAGCCTTTGTGTCGATGATCTCTGCTTACTCAGAAGTCCTGGTAGAGGGTGAAGGTACAAAAAGAGGCCCTCTCCAAGTAAGCAAGTCATTGTATACCTGTGTCTTACGCCGTTGGTGAAAAGCAAAAAGAAGTAACAAAGTAGGGTTTAACCAATAGTTGGTTGAAGTAAAATGAGCATATTCTCCGTTAATCAGAAATTGTGAGAGTCAAGAAATGCAGCTTCCATTCAGTATGAGGATTTCTGAAAAGATAATTCTTCAATGGTTGCATAAATTTGTTCCACGATTATCACTTCAAATTGTTAGAACTAATGTAAAAACATCAAATATCATCTCTTAATGTTTCCTTCTCTTTGACTTCTTCTCACTTTAGCAACTACTATGCTTAATACTACCCAGAAGAGGTATTATCCAACCTATGGCCCCAAGCCAAAATTTGGGATCATTTACACATTAACTGAAACCGTGAAGGTTTTTGTTATATTTGGAATGTGTTGCTTATGGAAAGCTTAGGCTCTTGGGCAGTGTTATTTTTAAAGTCAGTCTTGCTTTTAGTAATATATGCACACGTCATGCATTATACATGCATCACTTATTTCATTTATTTTTAACAAATCTGTAAAGTATATGTTCATTTTAAATACATTACATAAAAGAGAAGACAGGCTTAGAAATGTTATGGAATACATCAAGTCATTATATTTAGGATTTTAAATTTAGGCTGGCTGATTATAAATCGCATCATATAAACAACATCCTTCTATAGTTTTCCTTGTTATTTTTTTTTTCTAGTTTTTAGTCCCCTGACATTCTGATATCGGCACCCTTACTTGTAAAATAAGGGATTCTGTTAAAAGGGTGGTGTGGCTAATTTGATACACCCACCAATGAATACTTGGACTGTCACCACAATAACACAGAACATTAAAGGCTTTGTAAGCCCGCCATTCAGTATGTGTGCCTCTTTGGATCTGACTGCTCTGCTTGCAATCCAATTTTCAGCCAATGTGCCTGAAAAAGCAGCAGAAGATGATCTAAATACCTGGGACGCTGGCAGTTATAGGAGATGTCTGGCTGGAGCTGCACGCTCTCCATTTCAGCCTGGCCTAATCTTGACTGTTAGAGTCACATGGGAAGTGATGGAAGATGGAAGATATTTCACTTTCTTGCTCTCTCTCTCTACTTTTGCTCTGTGTATGTTTGTGTGAAGCAGTGCAACTTTCTGGGTTAAACATTATGTTTGTTACCACGCACACTAAGATTTAAAATCCAGGCCCTCCTAGGTGTAGAGGTAATTGCTTCTAAAGTGCTTATACTTGCCGTATTTACTATTGTGTAATAACTATCACATGGCGAACGTGCTGAACATATGAACATTGGGCCATCTTGCACCTTTGAATTGTAATGTTACATCTAAATAGCAACTTGGTTTGGCCCTGACAACATTCTGCCTCCATCAGCATGGAAGAAATGAGTCAATGGAAGATTTTACATGACTTATACTTTATTTGTCTCAAAAACACATCCATACATGTGGGCATAAACTGCTTTAATTTTGTTACTAGGCTGTTATATTATTTTGGAAAATGTGTTGCTGCTTTTGAGATCTGCTCTGCTCTCATGGAACAGGATGATTATCATTGCTGTACTATATAAGACAGAGTTACAGGGATACTGGAGCATGGGAAGCTATAATCAATGTAAAGGATTTGAATGACCATGTTTGTCATTGGCAGATCTGTTAGTAAGACTTCAGAGAATCAAAGAGATTCTTGTATTCTATTGATTTCGCATTGTTATAGATTATTATTTAATTATTGATCACCAGATCTATTTCTGTAAAAGTAATGATCCCAAATTGAGGCTTTTAGTTTGGGTAGCTCTTGCTGCAAATGTCTTAGCATGCAATGATTTGTCTCAAAATCAAATCCATTTTATGTGGGAAAGAGATTATTGTGTACATGAATATTATTGCTAAATATACAAATTTAAAAGAAGCAATATCAAATGTTACAAATAACCTATTATTGACATGATATGGAAGGTGCCATTAGTATCTGAAAGCAATATAAATATACATAGTAAAAACCTCATGAATATGTAGCATGAAGGCTTATGAAAGATATCCTAATATGTTGAGTCTTTTTGTACTTTTCCATATGCTTCCTGATCCAGATTTATATTTTTGAAAATAATATCTACTATCAACCCGATATAAAGAGCAGTTCATTGAGATTGACATCTTCTGGGAAAGAAGGAATTATTTTTAATGGAATTGCTGACTGGTTATATGAAGGTGAGTCACACAGATTTAGTTTCAAAAGGATACACGTTTTTACAAAGTTTATGAAAACTATTTGCTCATTTCAGCATAACACTTACAATTTCTTCTCATTACCTTACAGAATTGCCTTCAGGTTTTTGTTTCTTTGCATGCATTCATACTTGAGCTGATTGTAGATAGTGTCTGCCTCTATTACTCCTTAAGTATGTATGTGTATCTCTGTCTCTAGGTATGAATGTGTGTATCTAGGTTTGTGGTGTTCAGGTTAGATAAACTTTATTGTTGATGAAGTAATGAAAGTGAATGACCACCTTACCTCACTCACAAATTAGATGTTGAAATTTTTTGACTCTGAAAACAATTTGTTCTGCTGGAAAACATGTATAAAATGATTTCAGTTGGGACATCCATTAGGGGCATTTTGTCACATTTTAAAAATCATACAGAGAGAAAAATAAAACTTCCCAGAGTGTTATTTTCAATAATGATTGAATCAAGTGTTAGTAATAGTTCTATGCCTAAACATGAATTGGGTGGAGAAAATCTGTTTCTGCTTGTGATCATATGCCAAGTATCAGCTGAGTTCTGGATGCAGGTGCTGAGAAAGACATATAGTCTAAATTTAAGGTTATTCAACTGATCTTAACAAAACTATCAGGATTTGAAGTCAGTCTACTTCGGGTCAAACGATAAAGCTAAGAATCACCCAGAAAATCATTTCATTCCTCAAGAAGCATTTGTAAATGTAGTCTCTACACCTCAAATTCTACACTTACCATTTTGTAAGAGTAATGGGTCATGGAGATTGTTCGCTTCTTTCCAGTAAGCATTAGATACTGTTAAAAACCACCTACTTTCAAAATGCTTATCCACACACCCCCCCCAAAAAAGAATAGGGAGTGAAAATAAAATCGCTGAGGACCTTACATTCAAGTGATAGATTTTGCTACATGGAACCATTGTATTGAGGAAGAGATGTTATGATCCTTGAAAGATAGAAAGATATGTAAGTTTGCACTTGTATAATAGACTTTTACACACAAGCCAGCAGTACATAATAAACATTTTAGAGGCTGAAAGTGAATGTGAGACGTTATAAGAACCCTGTGTTATTATCAGCAAAAGTCACTCCAGTAAGTTTATTTTTAAAGAATCGCGCAAATAGGTAAATGTGTTTCTTTGACTAATATGCCTGAAGCGTGCTGCGATCTGCATGTTTCCAAAAGATAAATTATTGGAGATACCTACATGGTCTGTTGAATTGGAGCAGCGGTGAAGAAACAAACTTTCAATTTTGGTCATTCTGGAAAGCTGGGTGGCAGAAAGGGCATACTCTCCTAGCCTGGAGAAACATAAAGACAGAAGTGTGGTTTTTACCTTCCAAAGTTTGTTGGTACTATGTGAAAAAAAATAAGCAAGCAAAGTCGAAGTAGAAATGATAGCCTACACAGACTAAAGAAGAATAAAACTAGCTAGCATGTAGCAGCGGAACTCGGTAAGGTTGATGAGGAAAATTTGGGACAATCAAAGACAGCAAAAGCCAAGGGAATGTGACCCCTAACAGTGATCTGCAAATTTGAATATTGTCTACTTTACAAAAAAAGGCACTTCTTCAATTTTGTAGGCAATTCAGTTAAAGCCGAATTTTCATTGGCTTGAAAAGTTTTTAAACTAAGCTTTTTTGTAATACACAGTTTTTCATGAATTTTTTCAAAACTCCTTGTAGAATGGAGAAAGGAAATGAGCTCTCCCATATAAATAGATGCAGTTGGTGGCAGAAACGGAATGGACATTAACAAAGCAGATTTCAGGGTGAAGAGGAGCAAGAGGCAGGGTGTGTGACCTTTCTGTAGACTGCTGGCATGCTACATCAAGGAATGTCATGTCTTCCTCAGCATCAGTGAAAAGCTGCATCAACTGGCATGTACTAAGGCAGGCTGGCTTTAGGTTGCTGGTGTGATCTCTGATCAAGACAACCTGGGCCCCTGTCCTGATGGGGAAGAATCATATAGATTATGGGAATTACAGACTGAAGATTATTTTAAGGAAAGAAATTAGAGATCATTGTTTGAAAAAAAGCAATTTTCTTATCTAGAAAAAGGATGGTGTACATTTAGGCTGAGAAAAAATAGCCTGGTATGGATGAAAAGATTCAAATGAGTGACAGAAACATTTGAGCTAAACTACAGGATCTGTTGCTTTCTGGAAGAGAACGAGGTAACAGAGACTGTGCCGTCTAGGTTAAGCTCAGTGTTTATGGCTCACATGTTTGGTGAGTAAGAAGTTCCACATCTGCATTTGATTTAATACTCAAAATGCAAGGGAATACAATCACTTAGTGACATGGAAAAGGCTAATGGAGGGCAGCGTTGGCATTTCAATAGGATCTTCCCTCTCTTAATGTTAAGGGTTACCATAGCCACAGCTTCGAAAAGCTTTTGTTAAGAATTTACTGTATTAAACAAAAAACAAATTTGAGTCTCATTTCTAGTCATTTCAACATCTAAAACAATGGAAGTAATATGTCTAAATGAATTATAAAATTTGACGTGCTGAAATTGTAAAGAGAATATTATTTGAAATTCAGTCCTTCACTATGAAGTGCATGTATCGATTAGCCATTAAATGAAGAGAATATAAAGAGAAGGAGTAAGTGTTTCTGTTTTAATTATTTCCAACTTCCAACTTACTAAAATGATAAACTACAGACAACTTTTTAACCAAGGAAACCGTGCAGAGCATGGAAAAACAGAAATATGAAAAGAATGTGTCAGATACTAATGGAGTTTCAAATAGAATTAAATCTAAGGGAATTGAGGGACCTAAGATAATTTATAAATACTCCTTGCATTTATCTTAACAAAAGAAAAGATTAAAGCTGGTGGGGGGGATGCAAGATAATCACTATCCACATCAATAGATTGGTAAGTGCACATTTTTCATTCAGTAAAACAGTGCAAAATGCCTATTAGTACTTTATTTTTCCTCTTCTCAAGAAGCCATGGGCTCTCCTCCCTTCATTAATTTAATAAGGGTTTACTAAGCACTTACTAAAGTATTATCCCAGGGGAAGCAGCCATGGGATTGAGAAGGGAGAGGATTAACAGTGGTACTGAGTCCCTGGAGGTTAAGCAAAATTGTTATTAGTTCTGCTTCTGGATAGTTGGTAATGCTAGCAGCAACAACACCATTCAGTTGGTAGAGTCAGAAATAAAATTGCAGTAAATGGAGGAAAAAGCGTGAAATGAGAAACTTATAAATAGAGGCAGTTCTTTCAAGAAAGTTGTCAGTGAAACACAGAAAACCAGGAGGAAAAAAAAAAATCCTGCACATGCCCCCAGGACGGGCAGTAACATCTTCAGAAAATCCTATCTGTCTAAATTGGTAAACTACAAATAGAATAAATCAGGCCAGTTTTCAGAATAGGACATTAATCTTACCACAATGGTGGGATCTTCGTTTCCTGGAAATGTTGTGTGTTGAGGCTGTGTTTTTAAGAGTCTGCTATAAAACCACATGTATTGCAAACTCCATCTGTTCTGTAGTGAGGTTTTCTAAATCAGAGTAATAAAAATGAAGACCCTAAGCCTACAGTAAATTCAAATGGAATACAATTTATATGTGAATAATATGATATAATTAACAGGGGACATTTCAACCCATAAATAAATATCCCAGATAGTTGTGGCTAAAGAAGTGTGTGCCTTATCCGAGATGACTTAAAAACATGTGTATTAAAATACATGCATTTATCTTTCTCTCCAGTTAGTCATTGAAGATAGTTTCATGGATCTTTGCGTGTATTGTTTTTGAATAGTAACACTTTTGTAGGGAAGAATAGCAAGTGCAAATCCATCCATTATCAAAACAGTAGGTGAGACACAATTTCTGATTTAAAGAAACATCCTCAAATCTGGGTCATGCTTACGATTGGGAACTGCTAGCATTTATAGGGCAGCACTTGTGATAAGACACATTTCTTAGAAATTCAGAGTTGACTTTAATCAGCGGAATCTCTCTAACTTCAAATCACACTGGACTTAGGATTTATACTCAGTATGCCCTTGACAGGTATGGTTAATCTTCAGTCGGCCATGCGTATCTTGTATCTCCTCAACTGCATAAGTTATTTATATGAATCAGAATCACAACTGTATAAAAACGGCATGTTTACAAGAGAATAATTCTGAGAGACTTTAAACACGAGTCTGTCAACCACATACTAGACAAGAAATAGAAGTTGTGTGTTCACTGACTCCTGAAGTAGAGAGGGGAGGCAGTCACTGCAAACTAGATGCAAAAAATCTTATCATTTTCTTTTGTTTTCCAGTAATAAAAGAATGAGATTTGCTTGAGAAAAACACATCTAGACTGATGTGACTTAAATGGGTTGGAGCCGAGCAAAAAACTTCTATCCACTATCATCCTTCATTTAAATTGCCTGGGTTACATTTTGGCAAATCTTATCACAAAGGAAGAGACAATGGGCATATTCTTTGTCTTTAAATTAAGCGTTTGTATTGCCAAAACAAGTCTCCATCCCCCTCCACATCAGAAAAAAAAAAATCCTAATTGTTATTGTTCCACTGTGGGATATCCATCCAGTAAATGGATAGAAAACTTCTAGTATATGCTTGTATTTTCGTTTTCATACAAGAAGGTAGAGAAAATGTCAATATTAAGAGAAAAATCAAATTCATCATATGACCTTAGTTGTTAAGTATTCCTCAACTGCCCATTCATCTTTCTGTTAATTTTTATTAGCCTGTTAACTAGATAGATTATTTGAAGGATGGACCAGCTAATCATTTTTGTCACATGTTATTGCTTTTCATTCTTAATTAGGATGCTACAATTTCAGTCCTTCATTGACCATCGTTAGGCAAAGATGTACTTGAAAATCTCCTGAGTTCTAAAATAGATCCCTGGTTCTATTCCTAAGTTTAGTAATGATACTTTTTTCCATTGGCAGAGAAGATCGGTGGTTAAATTCTGACTGTTTTCTGTGTGTG